AGCTTTTTTTTTTTTTTTTTTTTTTACAATAGTGGTTGTTAGGAGCAACTAGTTCAATATTTTTCACAGCTGTAGAGGAAATGCATTGATTTCAGTCTTGCTGTTGCTTGTCACATCTTTCTGTCACTGTTTATCATGCATGTAACCAGCAAACTTTGACATGCCAGGTCTTAGTCAGTATCAATGATTCATTGGTTACTTTGCCAACTGCGGAGGCTTGTGGATTCCAGCCTGTTCTGATTTGTCGGACACTGTGAAAGTTGAACTTAAGGAATCAACTATATTTCCAAGGAAGTGAGTGAAGAATCCCGGTTTGGCTGCTACTAGTATACCTCTATTTACCTCAAGAATTTGTGAACTATTAAATTTGTAAAAAGTCAAAATAGTGAAAAATGGCCATTATATGTTCTGAGTTCCACAATGTCTTCAGATTTTTGTTTTTCTATTAACAGTAATATAAATCAAACAAAAGCAGCAGAAAATTTAAGTTCATAATGCTATGGACAGTACTGGAACAGTGAAGATGGGTATTAAATTTCATTTTGTGAACCAGTATGCAGTGGGTGAATATCATTTCCCTTAATTTCATCCACATTTTTTTTGTGTGTGTTTTATTCCTGTCCACATAAGATGTGAGGAAAGCCTGCAAAAAAAAAATGTGAGAGGACTCAGGGAAATATTTATAGAGATATGAGATGTACTTTCCTCTGATCCTTCATCTGAAATGTCCAGGTGCTAGCTGGTTTCTGATAAAGGGGCGTGTTGGGTCTGTAAAAAAAACTTCATGAAGGATGCTCTTGTGTATTCTCGCTCATGTCTTGTCCAGGCAGCCTCCCCTGATTCTCCCTCCTCACAGAAGGAATAAGAGCTTTGGGACATCTTTCAAGATGGTGAAGTGAGGACTGAGGAGCGAGAAATGATAAAATAAGGGAACTGGGATTGACCCAGTGCATGTGTGTATTGGCAGTCTAAATCAGGGGGAAAATGGATGGACCAATTTCCAATAAACCCATATTCCTCTTGTTTTCTGTCCTCAGCACACCAGTGTTGACAGCAGCAGTGTGAGCTCTTTGCCTCCCTCCTCTGGCTCTTATGCATCATCACAGCCCTCATCCTCAGCACTCCACTCAACCCACAACAGCAGCAACAGTAGCAGCAGTATCAGCCACCTGGCTAACATGCCCAACATGAGCAGCACAGTCGGCGGTATCACTGGAACAAGCGGACTTCACTCTGCTGCCACCGCCGCCACCAGCGCAGCGCTGGGACTTGGCTCCAATGGAGCTACTGCCACGTCCAACCTCTCTGCACCAAGGACCACACCCCTGCTCTCTTCCTCCACTGGTACACACACTTCAGACACTGGGATCATTAAAGTGTGATGGGTTGTTAACACGTTGAATGTCCTAAATATAGCAGTAGTGAAAAGTGCTATTTGAATAAATGTATTATTAGTAATCAGAGTTGAAAGAATTCAGATTCGATAAGTGGATCTGGAATTAGATTCAGATTCGATAAGATACCATCAAACCCCAGCTCTACATAAAAGTGAAGTATATGAAAGCGGTGGTTATTATGTCAGTACTTTCATTTACATGGGCCCTGATTTCCCACTAATAATCAGAACAGTAGCCCAATCGGAATAAAAACGCATGCTGTTAATCGGAATAGACCGGCCTGATATGACCTGATCAGAAAGAATTTTTGACCAGAATGAGACTGGAGGTGTTAACCTTTGATAATCTGTTCAATAGGGAAATATTAATCATGTAAATGTGGCCCAATCATTTCTCTCTATATCCTTTCTGCGCATTTGCCCCAAGTGGAGGTAACATGAGGTGACATCCCAGGAGGGACAAAAACAAATCAAAAGCAAATCAAACTGATCTGTGGCCATAGTTGTACTCCTGCCAGAGCGCACCTGAATGATGCTCCACCACTTATTTTTCTCCAAGTGAGGGAAAGATTATTCACCTAATCCAGCTGATATTCATAAACATTTTTCTAAGGACTTGATGAGCCAGTCATCAGTAAAACTATGTCTTGCTAGAGAACCAGTAAAAATAATTGGAGTGGTCTGAGTTGTTGCATTAAAATTGACTGATTCAGTGTCAACTTGTGAATGAAATAACATGCAGTAATAAAACCAGGGCCACAGCCACCTTGGGCTGGCTAGGGTTTGGCTTCTGTCTGGGGTGCTAGCTACCTAACTAGCACTGATAACAGCATAACGCACGTAGTGTCAAAAGCTTTATATTCTGATTAAATGCTTTGAACGGGTAAATGCACATCTTATCAGTGTCCTTGTCAACAGTTAAGTTGGGAACTCTGATCAGAATGATTTCAATCTGATTGAAAAATATGTTGCCCATGTAACTGCAGCTATTGTGTTGACAGGAAAAACTCCCCCTAACTTGTCCCAGGGAGTGCCTCCTCTACTGCCCAACCAGTATATCATGGGCCCAGGGGGGCTGCTGCCAGCATACCCAGTAAGTAGCCCATCAGTATCGAGAATCATAGTTTAGTGCATTTTCCAGTTTTGTCTGTTTAGCCACTTTTAGTTCCATTGTCAATGATTAGACCTATTCATTATCACCAAATTCACACTTGATTCCTCGGAGAATTGAAGAACTGAAGAAGATGCAGAGTTTTTCTGAAAACGTATTGGAACACATTAGGTAGATTGTGTTACTAATCCTACCTGTTTGTGTTTCACAGCAGATCTATGGCTATGAGGACCTTCATATGCTCCAGTCCAGACTGCCAATGGTGAGCCAAATTGTGCCACTCTTGGGAGAGTTTTTACCTTGCAATCACTGTAGTTTTGACACTGTTTCTTTATGCTGCTTGCATGTTGCCTGGCTCATCTCTTACCCTCTCGTGTTCCTTTAGCCCTCCTTGCAGGATTACTATGGAATCACATTCCCTGGCCACACAGCGACTCTCTCTGGCAGAGACGGGAACTTAGCCAACAACCCCTACTCAGGTAGAACACTGGCCTTGGCTGACCTTATCTAAAATCATAAAATCCAAGTGTTTATTCTGACATGGCACATTCCCTGTTTGTCAGGTGAAGTCGCAAAGTTTGGCAGGAACGACTCCACCTCCCCAGCACCCTCCACAAGCCTGGTGGCCCCACAGCCTCCCCAGGGCCAGAACCAAGGACAGAGCCAGGCCCAACCTCAGCCTACTCCGGCCCAGCCTCAACCCCAGGCCCAGCCGCAGCACCACAACAGTCAACAGGCCTTCCTCCCTCCGGGCTACAGTTACACAGGCCTGCCTTACTACCCTGGAGTCCCCGGCGCTGTACCCAGCGCTGCTGCCTTCCAGTATGGCCCCACCATGTTTGTTCCTCCCGGGGGTCCAGGACCAGCATCGGCCAAGCAGCACAGCATGAGCCTCAGTCTGGGAAACCCCTCGGCTAGCCCCTTCCAGCAGCAGACACAGCAGCAGCCCAGCAGTTACGGCCAGCACACCTTCAGCTCAGGTTAGTGAGCAAACTTGGTTTTTACATTTTCAATATATGCAAAAAATGGATTTTGGGTTAAGTAAATCTTAAAAATGTACCAGTGTTGCATACCTATTGTGTGGGAGTCTGATGCTGATTTCTTCTTGTTCAGGGTATGAGGAGCTGACAGCGGGGCCAGCAGGAGTGGACTACAGTAAAGGCTATAACTCCTCCTCACAGGCACAAGCCAAATCTGCTGCTGCTGGGCCGGGGAAAGGTGAAAACAAAACACTAGTTGTCTTTAATAGATTTTTGGAAGTCCTAGTCTAAACAGGTATTAATGCTGTTGCTGTTCTGCCAGGCGTATCAGTGACGTCCAGTAACTCTGGTGTACCAGACATCAGTGGAAGTGTTTACAATAAGACCCAGGTGAGCCACAAACGTCACTGCCTCCCTGCCCAGCTTACCAGCCTGCTGTATAGTTATGGTGTTTTTCCATCAGCACAGGTCAGCTCTGCCGAGCCAAAGCGTGTGCAGTGGAGCCATGCCTAGCTCCCAAGTCAGTGCGGTTGTGTTTCACACTGTGCTGTAAAATGCATTATCATCTGCATCTTGATCATGTGGGGGTAGTGCAACTTAAATGAGAAGCGACACATGACTTGGTGTCAGTGTGGTGTTGCTAGATTGCACCATGGAGCCCTCGGTGCTAGGCGTTATTTTAACCCCTCATCAGAAGACCAAGTGAGAGACTCCATTTTCTTAAATGGTTAAAACGTCAGTGCTGAATGTGCAAGACGTTCCCTTGGTGAAACATTTCAGCCTATAATGTGTCTCGATGAGCCAGCTCTGTTGAAGGCTAAGCCCAAGCCAGTGTGATTACCCCTTGGTGCTAGGAACAGGTGGAAACAGGCCAACCCGGGACTGCCCGGCTCCACACTGTTAAAAGTGGGCTGACCTGTGTTTGTGCAACAACACCATTAGTTACTGTAAATGTTCAGCTGTTGAATTTAATTGGTCGTTTCTCCTCTGTGGGCAGTCTTTTGATAAACAGGGTTTTCATGCGGGGACCCCTCCTCCCTTCAGCCTGCCATCAGCACTGGGGGGTCCAGGGCCTTTGAACCCTGGCGCAGCTCCTGGAGGCTATGCACCAGCCCCATTTCTCCACATCCTGCCTCACCAGCAACCACATTCACAGCTGCTGCATCATCATCTAGCTCAGGATGGACAGGTAACCCTGAGATTTCTGTGCATTTGTAGATATTTCTCAGCAGTCCCAAAGAGTGACTTACCTACTGTAAACACTTTGGCCTCTAACATCGGAGGACTGACTATTCATCCAGATCAACATTAGCAGGTGTCATACCATTCAGATGTTTCTCTGTTCATGTTCAGGGTGGTCCCAGTCAGCGCGGCCAGTCCAGCAGCCTCCAGCAGAAGAGCCAAGTCAACAAATCAAGCTATGGCGGCTCCACCTATTGGGCCAACTGAGGTGGCTACATCTGAGTGTGTGTGTGCGCGTGTGTGTCTGCATTGGCAGACACCAACACACACATCTGCATTTCTGACTAACAAAACCAGAGGGACAAACCATTTTAATAGACAACTAAACACACACTACTGCCCCTGTCCCATTTGCTCTGTATATCCCCTTTTCAAATTTATGGCTGTTGTATGTAAAATATATTTATGTATGTATTTATACAGTATATATGTATTGGTAGGACATAAAATGTGGTTTTCTGAATTTTTTTACTTTGAAGGACATTTTATTTCAAAAAATGTGGAAAGAGGAGAATGCTAAATCTTGGAGATGAAGTTGGTGAATATACTTGAACACAAGCATCTTGTGATGTGGATTTTTTTGTATGCATACATGAACTGAGAATGATGTACATAGATTCTACACATCATTTTCACGGCAAAGGCCTTTTTTTTTAATTTTTGAAGAAATGTTTTTGTAACTTTGGTCTCCCACATCTGTGAATCCGTACATACTGAGGGTGACTTGAGTTGATAGTTTGATTTTTCTCTCTGCCCCGTTTCCCTCTGTCTGTCTCTCATTCCTCAGCTCTTGCTAGTCGGTTGGTTTGACCAGCCAGGCCTTGGATTTGATGTCATTTTAACATTGGTTTAATCCTTGTTGTCCAAATTAAAAGCTATGAACAGTTTGTATAGGTCTGGCATCAATTTACACACCATGTTTTTCTTGTTGCAGACCCACAAGTTTCATTTGCTTAAATATGAAACTGTTATGGGTTAAAGTCTGAATGACAGTGCCAAATAGAGCAAACATAACTATTAATCTAATAAAATGACTGAGGTTGTTGATGTGCAAGCTAAAAGCTTACTGTAGTGATGCTCAGAATTACATGCAGAAATAACTGGGAAAGATGTTCTCTAACAGAAAAGCAAGCTTGGAAATGTTTTTTTTGCAGTTAGCATAACAGAGGTCAACATAAACTAAACAATCAAATCCAGTAGTTCCCTTTACCCCCCTCAGATTTATGCACAAAATATCCAGTCTGCACTTTTTTAAAGTCACCTCGCTGAGCTGATTATATCTGACTAAATACTGCAGGATGTAAACAAAGTAGTCCTTTAGTGATTGTGCTTGTGATCACATTTTGCCAGTTTCCCGTGGCTCCAGCATGTTTCATGGCCATGCTGCTATTTGATTGCACATCCTAATTTAATTTCACCAGTTTCAGTAAGTTCAAGTCTATCTAGAGGCAGCTACACACCCAAATAAAAATGTGCATTGAGCGCAAAACCTGTCAAACTGTCAGCAGAACCAAGGCACAGGCTGTTCCAGTAACCTGAGCACACCACCATTACTGCATAGTTGATCAGAGGCACAAAAGACCAGATAGTTTCATGTGCTTCTGATGAGCCCTACCAATGGTTTGAAAAGCTGTCGTAGCAAGAGGGCAGTCATTACTAGACCATGATCACAATTTGCAAGGTAATATCCCAAAACAAGTGAAGTTCCACTTTGACTTGGCAAAATATTTAATTCATACAATGTATTTACAGCAGTACAAGAAAATTAAAAGGCACAGTCATAAGCTTTTCCTAGCAGTCTGCATAAAGCTGCTTACTTCAACTAGCTTCAAATAAGTAAAATAAACTGTACACAAAAATCAAGGCCCAGTCTCTGCCCACACTCTTTAGTCAACATTTCCCTTTTTCTTCTTCTTCTTTTTCTTTTCAGCCACAGGTGTTTCTGGAGCCTCTTCTGCCACCACAGTTTCAGTCTTTTGTTTCTTCTTCTTCTTGGCTGAAGCACTCAATTCCTCTGCTCCACTGTCCATTGCAACCGCTTCTTCTGTGTCCTCTGCCTTTCGTTTCTTCTTCTTCTTTGCCGAGGTGTTTCCTGCGCCATCCTCGGCAACGGGGCTCTCCTCTGGTTGGACCTTCTTCTTCTTCTTTGCCGGGGTGTTTCCTGCTCCATCCTCTGCAACGGGGCTCTCCTCTGGTTGGACCTCTGTCTCCTCGACCGCTTCTTTCTTCTTTTTCTTCTTGACTATTTCTCCATTCTCCACCTTCAAGGAAGCATGAGAAAAAACAGGAACATCGCAATGTTGATGTTAAGGGCCAAATATCTTTTGAAGTTCTACTCCAGACATTTTGTCTATTTGCATATAAAAATACACTATATATTGTTTATAGGTGAGTAACAATTTTTGCTCAAAGTTCTGTGAACCTTTATAACAGGCCTCACTACATTAAACAGCTTTGGTGTCTGACTCGCTTCAGTGATCAAGTCCATTGTTTGGGACCAGCCAATGGTTCGGAGCCATGCTGATGTGGCATGTCGTACACTGAGACCGGACCATATGTTTGGGTCAAATCTCAAATCAAAACATGCGGGCAATGTAACTACAGCTCAGTTTTACCTCAGCGTCACCATTTTCTTGAAGTTCTTGCAACTTCTTTTCACGCTTCTTGCGTTTCTTTTCTTTCTTTTCCTGTTTCCTCTTGAGTTCGGCTACAACATCAGATGCCTGAGATGGGGAGAATACGATTATGATCAGGGTGAAACCATCAGGCTTTTCCTAAGAATCATCAATGCTGCATCAGGCTCATTAAATCAGTTTTGACCCTCAGTGATGTCAGGGAAAGACTTGTCATCATCCACAACATTGACATTAATGATCTCATCTTCCTCAGTGCGCACCGAGCTCACCTCTTTCACAGCCTCTTTCATCACATCCACATTTTTCCGTGGTAC